ACAAGGCGCTGGGTTCTTGCAGGTGTGGATGTGGTCTGGATGTTGTCCTGTGTCCTGTGGTCTCTATTTTAGGAAGATTTTTCTTTGTTATATTTTCATAGCTCTATGTGTTTTTGGGAGGAGATTTCCACTGCTCTACTCACGCCGCCATCCTGGCTCCGCCCCTCCCGGTAATTTACCTTTTATATTATTTGGAATGTCTTTAGTAACTTGCCTCAGACTCATTTTCTTAGAAATTCAATCTTTTCTCCACAGAGCCTCTTTTGAGATTAAAGAGAAAGAAGTGGCAAATTTAGGATCTTAGAGCAATTTTCATTGAAGTGTAGATCATTGTTTTCATTACCCTATCATTAATGTTTCCTATTTTCCTTTATCAGTGAGTTACTGCATGGTCGATTCCTATCGCCAAACTGAACTCTCTTGTTTTCTTGCAAGATGAAAGGAGACAGCCATGAATGAACCACTAGATGGTTTTGCAAATGCTTCTGATTTCCCTGATTATGCAGCTCCTTTTGGAAATCGCACTGATGAAAAAATCCCACTCAGGAGGCACTACCTGCTTCTTATTTACAGCATCATCTTCCTAGTGGGCTTTCCTGGGAATGCAGGGGTAATTTCCACTTATGTTTTCAAAATGTGGCCCTGGAAAAGCAGCACCATCATCACGGTGAACCTGGCCTGCACAGACCTGCTGTACCTGACCAGCTTGCCTTTCCTGATTCACTACTACGCCAGCAGTGAAAACCGGACCTTTGGGGATTTCATGTGCAAGTTCATCCACTTTGGCTTCCATTTCAATCTGTACAGCAGCCTTCTCTTCCTCACCTGTTTCAGCATCTTCCAATACTTTGTGATCATTCACCCGATGAGCTGCTTTTCCATTCACAAAATGCGATGGGCCGTGGTGTCCTGTGCTGGGGTGTGGATTGTTTGACTGGCACCTGTCATTCCCATGACCTTCCCGATCACATAAACTACTGGGAACAATAGATCTGCCTGCCTTCACCTCACCATTTCAGATGACCTCACTACCATCAAATGGTACAATCTAATTTTGACTGCAACTACTTTCTGCATTGCCCTGGTGATAGTGACACTAGGCTATGCAATGACTTTTTACATCCTAACCCAAGGACCTCAGACTCACAGCTGCCTGAAGCAGAAAGCTCGAAGGCTGACCATTCTGCTACTCCTGGTATTCTATGTGTGTTTTTTACCTTTACATATCTTGAGGGTCATTCGGATTGAATCTTGCCTGCTTTCAATCAGCTGCTCCGTTGAGAATCAGATCCACGAAGCTGACATCATTTCTAGACCATTAGCTGCCCTGAACACCTTTGGTAACCTGTTACTGTATGTGCTGGTCAGTGACAACTTTCAGCAGGCCATCTGCTCAGTGGTGAGATGCAAAGCAGGTGGGGACCTAGAGTAAGCAAAGAAAATCAGTTATTCAAACCATCCTTGAGGCTGCTGATACTTTACCTTAATGTCTAGATGTCCAGAATACCTCCCTCAATGGAACTCCCAGTAAATAGTGTGTATTTAGGTGATTACGAATACATAATACATAATGCAGGGCTACTATGAGTTCTTCAGAACCGTTTATTGAGATCCTTCCTTGGGTGGATAGAAGAATGGGAAGCATGCAGAGCAGTAAGGGTTCCAATGCAGAACTGGAACAATGAGAATTCACGGGCATCTTGGAGAACATCTAGTCTCCCCAGCTGAGTGTGTGTGTGTGTGTGTGTGTGTGTGTACATACATATATGTACACATGCATATGTGTATGCATATAAACTGAAGTTCACACACTTGGCTTAGGTCTCTCAGCCAGTGCCAAGACTGGAGAAAGCCAATCTTTTCACTCAGTTTCCTGTTCCTTCATACTGCTCAGTGGAGCAGTTTGTATTGAACTATTTGTATTGAACTCCTAGACTAGTCAAGGTATTATTCGTATCTTCCTCAGTATTCTTTTTTTTTTTAATTTTATGTCTCTTAAAATTTTTTTCCCAAACTGTGCATTCAGATTACTAGGCTTTAGTCAGTTTTTTAGATTAAAGTATGATGCACTCTGTGGGCAAAATAACAATTTTTCCAGAATCTCTTGCCTGGCCTTAGTCCATTTCTTTATCAGTAGCGTTTACAAGGGTTGGAGAAGAGCTATTCTCTCCTTCCCTCTGTTGTGTGATCGATCTGGCACCTGTCAGTCACCAGGGCTCTGCCTCTGGGGCTCTGCCAGGACAGGGCATGGGGAGAGGGGGGCACGCACCCTGCCCGGAGAGAAACGGGCACATGAGAGCAGCAGGGAAGGTGGCAGACGGGAGCCATGCTTCCTGTGAGCAAATAAACAGGTTTCTCCCGCTTTATCTTCCCTTGACTGATTTCAGCTTCACAGGTTTCGCTGATTTATTGGGCTGGGCTGAGAACATGCTTCCCCCCGGAGCTACACACTAGCAACAATTCAAAGATGTCAATGTAAATAGATAAAATTAATTACCTGCAAGATATTTGGGATATTATGTGTTCATTGTTGTAGATCATCTCAAAAGTTGTTACTGAAGTGATAAAAGTTATCAAGTTGTATTAGTAATTATCAATACATCCTGGGGAAGGAGGGGCCACTTTTTGGAGAATAGAAGTGCTTTTAAATATCATGTATGTATCAGGTACTAAATAAAATCTAATATTGTTTTGATTTCTGTGGAAAAATATTCCAGGAAACACTAATTCTCTATAGGTACCTTTCTCTTTTGTGTCAATCCTGAAAATATGATATCCAGTGTTTCAGCAAAGGCTATTTTTGAATTGTATGGGTGCTTAATTATCACTAAGTAGAACTATTTGAGAAAATGCCTAGTCTGGATATTTAAAACCCTGCTAAAATGTGTTGATACAATTAATAAATTAATTTAAAATCACTGAATAGGCTGATGACATTTTTCTGTGAAAGTACAACTTTATATTTATTATATTTATGTGAAACTTATACTCTCCATGTTTAGAGAATAAAAAAGTTAATTGTAAGAACTAGTTATAGGATAAGGTGGGAATAGATGATTTAAACAGAAGCAAGGGTACCATAGGAACATTTTTCAACTTCCAGGTTCTTCTAGAATACTACATCTGACTTGGGCTTCAGTGAGGCTGTTCATCAGGAATCTCTGGCAGGCACACCAGGGGAAGCTAGAGGAAAGCCAGTGTTTGGCTATGACCTTTCCTGGATGATGGCACTCTCTTCACCTACCATTTTCTGTGCCACCTTGCCTGGAGCCTTTGCATAACGTATGGCATGAATTGTTTCAACTTGTCCATCCACTCTGGCCACACAGCAGGGAGCGGCATATGCAGAGGTCCACTTGGAACCTGGAACTGGGTAGCTCTTCTCTCCTCTCCCCCTAATGCCGAGCCCAGCTGCTGGGCCCTCACCACAGTGTGGCCAGACTAGCTTCCTTCCCACTGCTGTTGTTATCCTAGCCCTGGCCGCACACTCCTTCTCCTTCTCACTATCTCAGTTCTTTCTTATTTCAAAGATTTTGCTCACTAGGAACCAGACACTTCAGTCTCCTTCATGTCTGTCTCTGCTTGTCTCTGTAGGTGCTGTGATTCTCTTCCTTCTTCCCACCAGTTTACTGAGCACTAAATCATCTCTTTACGGTACTAAGTCTTCCACTGTGATTTTTGGTCCCTGTTGAGCTCTCTTACAGACTTTGCTACTTTCTCAAATTTTAAACATTTCTATTACCCTGAATAATTGACCTCAGCTTGGGAACATGCATAATTTTCCTTTATGCTCAAAATATCTTCCCTCATTCTGCTGTTCTGTCATTCCCTTCTATGACCTGCTCCTGCAGTTATGGGTCAGGTGCAGATGACTGTCTGCCCTCCAGGGCTCTGCTGATAGAATATAATCACAAAGATCTAAGTTATATTGGATTCAAAGGGTCAGCTTTATTTTCCAAAGTAAAGAGTTCTGGGCTAATTATGTTTGGAACTGATGCCAAAAAAGATATTGATGATACTTCTGAGACTAGAATGGGACCCAAAGACCTGGCCTCATACACCCAGTGACAGGCAGAGAAAGCAGGAGAATAGAAGAGCAGAGCTTTAACTGACCTCTGGAGAGGGGCTGCCCGCTCTGCCCCCCACGTAAGCAAGAACGGGAAGCTCAGGTCAGGTTCACTGCACCCAAGTGCAGGGGTTCCAGAAAAACCTGTTCTGAGCTTTGGAGATACAGCAACCCCTTCACTTTCTTTTTAACTTTATATGAAGGGGATTTTCAAATAGTCAAAAAATTAAATAAAGTAGCAAAATGACCTCACATAACCATGACTTAATTCACAAATCATCAATATCCTACCGTTCTTGTTTCATCCATCCTTTCCCATATTTTTTTCCTAGAATATTTAAAAGCAAATCCTAGAAACCATAGTGGTTTCACCTGTAAGTGCTTCCACACTGGTCTCTTTCCAAACACGCAAAATCAGAACATAATAAAAATGATTCCTCAGTATTATCTAATGTCTAATCCTTATTTTCTTTCTCCTGGTTGCCTCAAAAATCTTTTTACATTTGGTTTTTCAAATCAGGATACAAACAAGGTCTATGTATTCCATTTGATTGATAGGTCTATTAAATTTCTTTTAATCTCTTACAGTTCCCCTTCCCCTTATTTATTGTCATCTATTTACTGAAGAAATTGAGTTATTTTTTCTGTGGAATCTTCCACTTTAAGGATTGGGCTGTTTCAACTCCCTTCTGCTGTTTTTCACATGCCTCCATGACCATATTTGCTGCAAACTGGGAGGTAGAGCTACAGCTTAGATGAGATGTAGTTTCTTTTCTCCCTCTCTCCTTCCCTCTTTTTCTTTTCTTTTTACAGAAACCCTAATTGTCTCAGGAGGTGCATAGAGTCTTGAGAAGGGGGGCAGGATGTATCAGCCTGAATTTGTATCAGAAAGTTATCCAAGCTCCTTGCCTTACTAGTGTATCAGTCACAGCTTGCTGTTGTGTCCTGATCCACTAGGCCTTTCACAGTGGGGACTTAAAATTCAACATTCTCTGCTTTCACTGGCTATGGCTTTTCTCTAAAGATGTTTG